CACTTAAATGTGATTTGTAACATTTTGCTCAAACACGAGTAAATAAGTGTAATTTCTCTGGTTTGGTTTCCAACTGGGTTCAGAGTTTTAATACGGATTATTAATGGGTTGGTAGTCATTTTTGTCAGGCTAAGAAAATGTATCCGTTCTACTTCTTGCTAGTGTGTTAAAGTAGGACAGGTGTTTTCAAATGTTGTGTAATGAGAGACCACAGGTGATGGTGCGTTTGTATATTCATGTAGAATCTAGAATTCAACAAACTGTAGCTTCAAAAAAAACTGTCACCACCACACACACACACACACACAACCACCTGTCTTTCTTTTTTGTTATGCGTGTAGTTGTGCATCTTATTTCCTTCACGTTTTCTCCTCCATCTGATTTCTAGAAGAGTCTGGAGGACTTCACTCAGATTCTGAACAAAACACCGAGGACAATCAAGCACGTCGTCAAAAACAATCAAAGGTATTAACCTATGTTTTTAAATGATACGAAAAATTGCCTCTTGAAAGAGATCTGTTGGTTTTTAAATTCTTAGACTGTATCCGGGTAGAGTTCGTGTGACTCACAGCTCAAAATATTCTGCATCTGTCAAACAAAGGTTTGTTTCAGCCCTCAATTCCCTTAAGTCGGTGTCCTCTGATTGGCTGCTCCTGTAAACAACAGGTTTGAAAATGAAGGGGTGGGGCTTAACCATAATAGGAATTTTCCTTCTGTATCTATGAAGCCTGAGTTCATTTCATCAGCGACTTTTCCATGCTCTTACAAACCATATTATCGTATGCGAGCTCAAGTTCAGTAACACAGGTAAGCAGAGTCAAAGGAGCTTGCAAAGAAAAGCGTCTGGACTTCTTTAAGTTACTTGAAGACGTTTCACCTCTCATCCGAGAAGCTTCTTCAGTTCTAAGGTCAAATGGTGGAGAGTCCCAGATATAAACCTAGTGGGAGTTTCCCCCCACAGAGGGACAAAAGGACCCCCTGATGATCCTTGAGTTGAGTTTCGGGTGAAAGAAGAAGCTTCTCGGATGAGAGGTGAAACGTCTTCAAGTAACTTAAAGAAGTCCAGACGCTTTTCTTTGCAAGCTCCTTTGACTACGATGACCTGGATGACTGAGAACCTTCACAGACATACAGGTAAACAGAGTTTATCAATCCAGAAAAGGTGGGCCTTGTATTTTCTGTTGGGATTGACTCACTTTTAGGGCCAAATTCGGCTTCATTTTTAAGTCCTGGGTGTTTCCAACTGGTCAAAATATGGTCGCTTCTGGATCCTAACAAACATGGCAGCAGCCAAAATGCTAATACTGAGGCTATAAGTCCAGTTTAACAGGTTAAATGATTTTTCTTTTCTACAATATTTGTGTAAATCTGGGGAATTGCCAGCATTGTTTCAATGTTGTAGGAGGAGGACTTGCATGCGTGTCCTTTTCTCCTGCTGATTCTAGTCTAAAGTGAGCTGATACAACCAAATTTCCCCTTGTGGGACAATTAAAGGATTATTCTATTCTAACTCCAGAGTCTGTCTCGCTGCCCTGACTGCTACAACCACAAGGCACACTTCAAGTCTCGGTGGGGGGGCGAGAGTGAGTCCAGCTCATCTGACGAAGACTTTGGATCAGAGGTTAAGTCTGACTCAGAAGCCGAGTCCAGTTCCAGCAGCAGTTGCTTTACTGGGAACGTGGTAGAAGAGACACCAGTGAGGCCTGTGTGTGAAGACACTGAACCTGATTCTGGAGGGCAGGATGGTGACAGGCGAGCGGAGACATCCGAGACTCCAGTGGATAAGGTGAAGATGAAGGGGATGCTCAAAAGACCTCAGCTAACCAAGTCTGTCAGTCTCCTGCCACACCCTCGCCAAGTCACCTCCACCCTTCACCTCCAGGTGCTGCCCCAAAAACACAAGAATGACACCACCTACACCATCTGCCGACCAGAGAGAGGGGGAACCTCAGGAAGAAGAGACAATACCCCTCCCTCTGTACCATTCCCATGGCCGCGGCAGCCACCACATCTTCACCCTGACTATATCCCTCCTCTGGTACCTCTAAGGTTACCTCCACCTCTGCACACGTTTCCTATGTTATATGCACCTCTTCAGGCTCCAAATGCATCCTACACACATCTGCAAACACTTACTGCACAACCATGCCAGTGTTATTACTGTATGTACTTTCCTCACACACACTGGAGTCATTACAGCAGCACACAGCTGCCCTGGTAATAAAGTGCCCTGCAGTGTTGTATACAGCCCTTAAGCATGTGAAAAACCCAATAAAGAAATGTGAATATAAGGCATTAAATTAATGTTTTGTCATTGTAAACAATAATGCAATAATCCTGTCTGGGAGAGTGGACCTCCCCTGCATACATCACATGCATGCAATCGTAAAGGACGGTTTTGTTTGAGTCCTGCGTGGAAAGCTCATCTAGTAGGAGGGGCTTATAAACAAGAGAGTCACATAAGGACTGCTCGATCATCAAATTTGTATTTTTTATATTACAGTTTTAGTTAAATGTTATTTTGGGAAGTCTGAGTCCTTGAGTAAAGTATCCGTCAAAACGGCGACGAAACAGTATTTCTTTGTTTCTGTCCTCCTGAAGTCTACGTCTCAGGGAAGGTTGCTCAACAAGGCCCCGTGCGATTTTAAAAAAACAAAAAAGTTACTTTTTATCAGTTGTAGGTGGGAGGCATTTTCAAATACCAGGGTTCAGAAAGTACCAGCCTGTAACAAATTGTTCTGTCTTGAGATGAAAGTGTTCGTGATGAAGCTGTAAATCTGAATTCTGATGACCTGCATGAAGAATTCAGCTACTTTCAGCTACTTTCACAAGATTTCACCAAAGCGAGTGCCTCTGTATCTGGCAGCTTTTAATGCTGGACTCTCGCTCTGAAGCAACCCCTGAAGAATTTGTGTCATCTCCTGGAATGCTGTATAGATTTTTATTAAAGACATTTACACATCGAGCATTAATGATGTGCCTGGATCCAATGATATTTCCTCGCTGTGTCTCCTTCTGGTCTAAAGTTTCCAGATACACCACAACAACATTTGTTTTATCCTTTATTCTGATTTTTATGTTGGGTTTATCTTTATATAGTAGTCTTGATAAATAACATCTCAGGTGGGAGTGATTATATCTCTCTCCCCCCAACCTGTGTTGTACCTTGTCCAGTCGTGAGAGCAGTCGCTTCTTACAAATGTCAGAAGACTGTTGCTAATAGTTTTTGTCGTCAATGCGCCTGTTGGGTATGAAAGATGCCTACAGACAACATACAACAAAAAATATATCTATAAAGAATCTAGACTGTACACAAAGCTCACAGCAGTGCTAATTTTTAATGTGATGTAAAGAGATTTTGTGAAGGGACAGCTGCTTTACTTTTGTGTTTATTTGTTTTATTTTTGAAGACAAGTCTCTTTATTGCCATCTGTTGCATCCTGTGATTGATTGTTGCTGCAATGATACCCTATTTACAGTGAGATGCTTTACATCCAATGTGGACCTAGCGATGGTGGTGGTGCCCGACTGGTTGCCTCTCTTACCTGTGCTCAGTTTTTGACAGTTTAACAACTTCTTCTGTCTTTATTGTCATTAATTTTATTTTCATTTTGTGTGGTAACTATCCTATTTGTTTTTATTTAACACGGTAGGATGTGTCATCTTGTTTTTAATCCACCTCTTTATTTTTTTAAGTTTTGAGTTGGTAATTTTAGTTATTTTCTTTCTTTCTTTCTTTTTTTTTTTAAAGTTTTTTATGCACAAGCACTAAAGTAGATGATTCGACATCACCTCCCAGGTGACCTCAATCGCCGACGGTTTGTCAGTTGTGGTACTGTAGGATCTGAGAAGCTGCATGCTGACTTACCCTGACCTCCGTTAGACGGCTGTTGTTCTGACGGGCAGCAGAAAAATGCAGGGAGATATTAATGGTCCATCATCCTATTCATGCAACCCATTTCAAGAGCACCCTATTTTCATCTCTTGCCTACCAATGCCTGACCCTTACTGGATATACTGGGACTCGAACTTAAGACTTTGGCTCTAAAGGCATGTAGTCCTACCACTATTCTATATCTACATTACTTGGGTTGGTGTGGTTACCAAAGGTTTTGTAATGTGTATGGTGTTTTGTGGGTGAGAGTGAGACTGAGGGTTTTTCGCATATTTGATTATTTTATTCTACATCTATCTTGGATATTTTTTATTATTATTATTATTCTTTTCTTTTTTTTTACAGTGGATAATATCATCTAAAAGTTTGTTGTTTTTTTACTTTGGACCAAAACGAGTTGACTGATGGACACTGCATTGCTTAAATGGCTAAAAAGACCAAGATAAGATCATTTATTTCCTTTTGCCTTAATGAGTCCATTATGCTCTCAAGTACTCACAGCAATTCTGGTAGAACATGTTACCCACGATCTCACGTCATGCCCCGCACAGAGGAACTCGACTGTTACGAGGGTAAAATGCAGGTGCTTGTACGCTGCAGATAACACAACAGTCTTTTCTGTCTCACCTTCACAGAACAGCAATGGACGGCTTCCAAGTGCATGAAAAAACTAACAAGAGGCTCTTTGTATGATGCGTGTGTGGTTTGTTCCACCTACAGTAGCCACCAAGTTTCCAGATGTCTCCACTGGGACACACTGTTTCCACTATGGCTGCCAGCACACGCACAAACATGCACTGATGTCATTGATGGTAAAGGATGGCGTTTTTTTGGAGTTGGGGGTAGAACATGTAAATGCTCCAGATCTGCAGAGAGCCAAAGGGGAGGAGACTTTTCTACATCCCCGTTCTTCCTTTTTTTTTACTCTTAACTTCCCTCAGTACATACAAAATGATTTTATACGTGCTTCTATAATCAAACACCAAAACTATAACTTCACCACACATTAAATGTATTATTTAAACTCATGCATTTTCCTCTTATATTTCACCATTTAAAAATTACACAAACTAATGAAATCTTTCATTGGAGGCAAAACTCTATGCAGTAAAACGTTAGCATCTCAATAAGATTTTCTTTTCTTGGTTTCTAAATGAAAAGATGCAGGCAGGTGACAAAATAAACGGAATAATTATTGTAGCAGCTTTATTAAATAAACATGTAACACCAGAACAGCTTCAGTGCAGCTTGGCATCAATTCTGTGGAGGCATAAAGAACAACTCGTCGTTTTGTGTTTCAGCGATGGCGGCGGTTTAAAATAAAATTGGTCCAAAATCTCCCACGGGTGTTCTGCTGCGCTGAGATCTGGCGATTGCGAAGGTCACGGCAGATGATTCACACCGTTTTCATCCTCATCCTCGTTTCCCATGGATGTCATCCTGAAAGAGACGACTCCCATCAGGGCAAAAATATTTCATTATGGAATAAATGTGATCCCTCAGAGCAGCTTTGCATCGATTTGCAGCAAACCTTCACTCTAGAGCACCCAAACCAAATGTAGCGTAACAGATTCACCAGATATCCTCCCTGTAGGGGTCAAGGGTTTCAGGCTTTCCCTTTAAGTTGTCATCTATGTGTATACAAGCATTCTAAACTAATAAAGTGGCCATGATAGATATACCTGCAAAACCTCAGTGCTAGTATTTTCCTCCACCATGCCTAAGCAGAGCACGACTGCAGATCCCTACTCATGTTGCTAAATTGAGAAAAAGTTACGATGGAGGCCTGTTGTTGCCATCTTTGGTCACATGGTCTTTTTCCATCATAAAATCAATGCCATACTCTTATAACTTTCAAGCGTAACAGACCTCAAATAGCATTGATCCGGGGCTAAATGTGGCTTCTAGTGGAGAAGTGAAAGCTGTAAATTGAAGCAGCTCAAGTGAACATGTGAGATCAGGCCAGGCACATCTGCACTCTATGAACAGAATAATATCACGAGATTGGAAATAATTGAGTAAATTTACTATTTCAGTAAATATCAGATGTTGTTTCGGAAAACACTGCACCGACTTGGCTGCTCTTCCCCTCCTCATTTTCTCTCTAGCTCTTCACATCTGTCAATTAGTGATAATGGACCACATCGGCCAGGAGGAGACCACTCCCACACTCCCTCTCTATTCCCTCCCTCCTTGACACACAAACACACACACACATCCACTCTCTCTCTCTCCCTCTGTCTTTCTTTCTATCTCTCAGTCAGTAATAATGGAGCCCAGCAGTCCAAAGAAGATCCAGTTCGCTGTGCCTCCGCTGCAGGGACAGCTTGACCCACAGGCCGCCGAACATGTGAGTGTATCCGAGCATGTGTGGGCCAAAGAGTTTGGCTCGTGCATGTGAGAGCTGAATGGGGCTTTTATGTCCTGCGTGTGTTATCGGGAATTTTTCGGTGTGTGGGTGCAGAGCATGAGCGCAAGTCGGCATTATGAAAACGGCCGTTTGTGTATCTGGCTGACAGCATGTGTATTTAATGGGTACGCCGTGTTTGAGCTGCAGTGCATGTGACACTTTTAAGCGCTTTGTTTTCACATCTGTTGGTCAGGCGTTTAAGTGCAGGAGATTTATGTGACTTTGAATAAATGATATGAAGAATTAGAGAAAAAAACACACACTGAAATACCATTTAAATAATTTAACAGTGACTTATTTACTTTACTTCCATAAACTTTTACATAGTGGATTTACTCCCATCTCTTCCAGGAATCAGAAATGCTTTTCCTTGTTTGTTTTACAAGTAGCTGATGGCGGAAATCCCAAGAAATCTTGCCCACCTTTTCTTCTGGGTTACTCTGGTTCAAAGGCAGTCATGGTAAAATGGGATACTTCTCACTAACTGACCGTTTCCTCAATAAACGTGGAGAAGCCTGGCAGAGGCACATTTTTTCTTTAGCTGATCCTGAGTGGCTCTAAGAGGAAGAAGCATAAGCTGCTTTTACAAACAAGCTTAACCGGCATATATCAGGGAGTTGCTGCTCTTTGCTTTTTGCTGACATCTTTATGGACTGTTTGAGGAAGTTGGTGATGAACAGTGACTGATTAGGGCCCCCCCTGCATCTAATGTTGGGGGAGTGACTGCCTCAGAAAGTGTTAGCATTCCCACAAATCACAGATAAATCTCACAGATGGTTTTAAGAGATACCATCGCACCAACCTCTCCCTGTCAAATAAACAATGAATGACAGTGTGCATTTTTTACTACTGGCTATCATTCTTCTTCTTCTTTTTTTCCCCCTGAAAAGCCACCTTCCAGTAAGGGTCAAGTGATCTTTTTAGTCATATAAGATTACAGTCTGAATGCCCTTACTGTATAGTGTTTACTTCAATGTGCAGTTGTACACCCACAGGCTGGTCCTGAGCCAGAAAACCCAGAAAACATGCACTGCAAGGGTTAGGGACTGTTGCCAAAGTGTCTGCACATTAAATCTTTGGGAATATTGACTAGGATGATCTGATATCGTCGTGTTGGTGTTGTTCCCAGATCATCATGAAAATGTTGTTCCAGGTTCAACATTGCAAGTGACCAATCA